ACAGAACTGCTGGATTTATGTTTTTCCTCATCAGGCTTTTTCAAATGCCCTTTCTGAAAAACAACAATGCATATGATCCTGCACAAACACAGCTGACTTCACTGGATCTTTACTGGCCTGCATCCTGTCTAATGGGCTCCTCTATGTGTGCTATGGAGCAGATGCTGTGCGATCAGCTGAGAGGTTTCGTGCACATGGATTTAAGAAGAAGGAGACCCATACTGCCGGGGAAGGGTTTTCTTAGAAACTGTCAGCTTTCAGTCAGCTGGTTTAAATGTATCACTCAAGAGGAGAATGATCTCCTGATATAACCAAACTCAACTGGTCACTTCTTTTTTTGTCTTTTATTAGAATCCAGTCTCGGCTATCCTCATGCTGAGCTGTAACATTATGATGGCTTTTGTTTGAAAAAAGCTCCTGCAGATATGCTTGGCTCAAAAGGGGAAGAAACAACCTTGCTTTTCCACCTACACTGATTTTTTTCTCTCTCATTAGTACTCCCCTTGACAATAAATACATCGTACATCTTCCACAGCTGACTGTGCGGCCCTCCAAACTAAGCACACTTAGCACACAGCAGAGTCTTACAGCTTTATATTTACTTAAGGAAAATGGTTATATAATATAAGGCAGAACAACTCATTCAATCTGAATATTGGCTACTTTGCTTGGTCCAGTGAACTTGTTTGTTCTTGTGTAAAGATATCGGAGTGATGCACTGGGCACTGTAAGAGAGACTAAAGTGACAGACATCTGCAGAGACGGGAAGAGACCCGCTCTTGCATGATATGAAAATAGCTGCTTTGAAGGTCATTGATGCTCAGAGACAAGCTGAGACTAAAATGAAGAAAACATTTGACATGTTTCCTTTCTCTGGCTGACTTTTGACCTGTTTGTCCATATAATAACAGTTAGTGTCAGTGTGTTTGATGTTTGTCCGTCATTCTGAACTAAGGCCCACAAGTTCATTTGTCCTTCTGTCACTTATCAGACTCAATAGTGTACATAAAACTGACAGATGGTATTACGAGAACAGTACTTGATTAAAACGAGTCAAAACTTAGCTATGAGAAGACGGTGTGAACATTTCATGCTTAAATTCAGGCGCACCAAAAGAGTGAATTTTGGTCATCATAGAGTGTGTTATCATAGAGAATAGGAAACTGGGTTACAATTTTGGAAGAATGGCTCTGCCCCAGATTTCTCCTGAGATGGCTATTCCTGTCACATTATGGAGCAGTCAGAGTCCAAGAGTGGACGTCTGCTGCCATGCATTTGGATAACACTTGAAGTCAACCATATGTCATGTATCTCAGACATATAACAGTATTTACTTCAACAAAAACATGCACTGGAGCAGAACATCTGGAGCCTAAGCTAACACAATATACATCTAATTATGGACATAAAACTGTAATAAAAAACGCACATGTAGGAAGGGAAAGTAGGTTTCATTTTAATGACAGCTGAGAACACAACATTTCAACTAAATTGGGAGGAGTACATTCTGCATTGTGGCAAGTACTGGGAAATTCATTTTCTAGTAGTTTAGTAGTCAGATCTTTTAAAAGCTGTTTTAAATTAAGAACACCTCATTCTATGCACTGTTTTCTCATTGTTTAAACCCAGACGTGGAAAAGCGATGAGGCCTTTCAGGAAACATTTCTAGTCCTTTCCTTTTCCTCTATCCCTGAACAGATCTTCTGTGGTATCTCCTTTTTTTCCAAGGTTTATTTAAAGATGAGACAGTGGATTGAGCCAGAAATTGGGAAGAGAGGGAGTAGGGAACAACAAGTGGGAAAGGAGCCATGTCAAACTCGAACCCGGGCTGCCCGCCCCGAGGACTTCATCCTCTGAACACGGAGCGCATGCGCTAGCCACTTGGCAATTGGTTTCTCCTTTGAGAACATTGTAAATGGTAGAATATTTCTTAGAAGATAGTGTACGCAATAACCTGTATTTTCCAAGAAATGAAACTAAAAGTAAACTGATCTTTTTTTAATAACTACTTTGTCTTTCCAGAGCCTGATATTTATTTTTCCATTGTCCAAAAACTTGCACTTAGAGATATTTTCTTCAGTAGAGGCAGACTAACATATAGCTGTATTTCAAATGTGCACAGTTCAGGCACAGAAAGTGTGTCTTATATAACTTGTTGATAAACCTTTGCTAAAAAGGGCAGCTGCTCTGGGAATTTATCGAGGCTTTTTAAAAGAACAAAACTATATATTTGTGACCTTTTTAAAAAAAAACAGCCTCATAGGGTGTGTGTCATAGAAAGTGTAGACGTCAGAGAGCAATCAAGGATGGGTTTGGACATTGCTAGTTTGGTGCTTTAACAGGGTTTGTTATAAAAATTTATTGAAATTATATGCATAACACCCAAGTATCTACTATCTTTAAATTTCTCAGTAAGACCCGAACATTCTGGTCACATTCTTGAATAAATATAAAGGAGGATCTGACCGTTGAATAGATTAAATATTGTCCTTACAGATGTTATTTTCCTCCCAGGATCCCAGTATGAGGAGATTGGCATCCACTATGTGATCAAGCATTAGGAAAGCCTCTGGTTTAACACCTTCAGATCTGCACATGTTAGATTCAAATAGACAGGGCAGCCCTGGGGGAATTCTCTGCATTATGGACAGCTTTGCTACACACGTTCTCATGCAGGCTGCTTACACACCGATACATTGCATGCGAACCATAAGAAGAAGCACTGGAAAGCCAGCTGGCTCACATTTAATTTTTAAAAAGGGGAGCACTTCGAAAGCTTCAGAAGATTGTTTTATTTTATCATTTGTAAATTTCTCACATGTTAAACTGTCATCGAGAAAAATCCAATCGAGCTTCTTTTTGAAGAGCTACACTGAAGAAATGAAGCCAGCAGCTTCATTTCTTCATAATACCATCCGTTGACCTGGCACTGCCATTGCTTAACATAGTCATACATTTACATTTGATCTTTCAGTGGGCTGTTTGGATGCATGCTTTGTGTAGTTTTGTGTTAATCTGTAGAATAAGAAATGTCATTTCTGTAAAATGTTCTGTTTTTTTTCTCTCTGAAGATTAAAGGCCAAGCTCTCACTTCTATGAGACAAGTGTTCTTATAACAGGTTATATTGCTGGGCTATAAAAGGAGAAGGACACCTGAGCTACAGCACTGTGAGGTCAGGTGGTTTGAGAGTAGTTTAGTCACTACCTGTTAACACTGACTTAAACAGCACCTTTTTTATTCAAATTAATTTGTCAAAGACACTTGGCAACCCTGGAAGAATTTGGAAAAACATGGCTTAATCCAATGGGAAAAGCGGTCCAATTATTTCGACAGGGACGTTTTAGTGAAAAGCACTTAGGCTATCCCTCCTTGTAGCTGATCAAAATTTGAAAAGCAAATGATCAATTAAAAGAAGCAGCTACTGAAGAGTTCTGAAGTGAAGCAGCTTCCACAGATTTTTAATTCCATTAAACCCAGATTTTTATATTTTTATTTTATATTTTACCTGCAGAAAGAGGTCACTGGCAAGGGTCATTATGGGTGGAAAGATCCCAAATTCCCCATGGAGCGCCATTAAATTTGATCTAATCTGATCTAATCATCTGACTCTAATTGAGGATACAAAGGGACAGCGTTTTAAGCCTGAGTCTCTTCCGGTGTGGCGTCACAGCAGAGGATTTCTCCTCAGGAAGAGTGATCTGAAAATGAGGTGACATGAGTTGACCACGAGCAGCAGCCACTTTTTCATCTGGCGACGTTTTCTATTCATGGCAGCTAACATGTGTCCCTCATGATGGGACCTGACACCTTCCCCTGGAGCCACATGGAGCATGAGGAGCGACTAAGTGGACATGCTATTACACTCTGACCCCTACTCGCTAAAATGTCCAAGAATGGTGTATTGAATTTGGAAGAATCTTTGAGTTCAAAGATATTTTAAAGAAAAATACACCTTTCTTACATTTGGTAAATCAAATATTCCCCTTACATCAGCTGCTATTTGGCTTAAGAGCACAGTATTTGAAAGTCACTTTGACCTCTACTTTGACTGCATCTCCGGAGTATCTCCGCGTGCTGCTTTTCTTGGTGAAATGGATTTACTATTAAGGATGATGGAAAGAGATTTGCCACATTGTGAAACAAAACAAATCCACAAATGTGTGGTTTTTGCTTGGGTGGAAAAGTGCCAACTAGTGCTCATCATTTATTTAACATATTCTACTCTCTTAGAATCCACAGATATTAGCTTTTACTCATTACTATTGTTGCACAATCACAGTAGTAAAGAGTGAGAGTTCTACTTTTGTTTTCAAACAGTTTGAAATTCTTGTCTAATACTCGATTTAACCCCCCTCTTGAATGGATTGTTTGTAGGCCCCATGAGTGAGGTGGCAGAAGTGGTGATGTAAATGTGCAGCAGCAAATTAATCACCGGTTGACAATGCAAACTCACACAGCCTGAGGTTTTTTTTTTGCAGATTCACATTCACTAAAAACAACACAAGTCAACTGTTTTGTAATCATTCATGTGGTGCTATTTGCAGGAACAAACAAAGACAGCCCTGCAGATTGCACCAAAATAAACCTGTTGAACCTGCAACAATTGGACACATTTTCAGTAAATGTAGTGCCTTAATTATTGCACATTTTTAACAATGGCACTGTAACAAACTGATGAGTTGATTATTTAAAAGGGAATGCGTTCATGCAACCTATCAAATGTAATTCTTTGCAAATTGTCTTTCTTAAAATGAGCTCAAACTGAGAAGGAAGAGAAAAAGCACAATTTCAACCTCTCATTTAAAAGTATTCCCTCAGTCTAGAGTCTAACCTCCGCAATTATGTTGAACTACTTAACTAATTTAAGTGAAAATGCCAGCAGGTGTGGCACCCATTTGGGTTATTCTGAAAGCGCCGAGGTAGACGCTCGTGCACGCGCGCGCACACTCATATATGACTCATCTCGTCTAAACTAAAGCACTTTGTCAGAGGCGTCCATTCACGTTACACCCATGCAAGAACGCGCAGACTCAATCTCATCTTGGAGCGCGACACTTATAGTGAGGTTGGCTATATAAGTCCATTCAGCATCTACTCTTAAAGTAACTATATACTTGTTTCCTCAAAGAAGTGAAGGAGGGCGGCATCTCGCCAACTAATACCTGGCAACCTACACGGCTGTGCTGGACCTCCTGTAGAGATAGAAGGTATGAAAAGCTTTTGTTTCATTTAATCCGTGTTTTAGTTTATGCGTTTCCTTTCTTTGGCAGGTTACACAACCGAATTTGTTGTTACAGTTTAACTCTAAATACAAAAACAATGAAACAATGTGTTTATTTACAGGTTGATTGGAGCTTATTTTCGTTAATCATAACTTGCTTAACAGTATTGGAAACAAGCAGAGATGGCAGGGAATAATAATCTAACTCTGTTTCCGTGCGTAAAGTCCCATTTACGCAGCCTGTTTCAAGATAGAATTGAGATTTGTAGCATGAAAATAATTTTTTATTGTATTTTCTTCTCAGATTCCTGTTGATATCCTGACATGAAGCTCAATTTACTTGGTACCACCGTAATTCTGCTTGTTGCCTTCTTACCCCGCTACGAATGTCGGGCTATTGAGAGCCCTGGCGGTGCCCTGCGCGTCCCAGCACCTCAAACCCAAAACTCCCAGCAGCAGCAGTCTGGTCCCATCCTGGAGCGACTCGGAGAGGAGTATTTCATCCGACTGGGTAACGGGGACTCTAACTCTTTCCCATCCTCGCCCATGTATCCCGGAGGATCCCCTTCCATCTACAACAGAGCGTTGCAACTCCAGCAGCTGACGCGGCGTCTTTTACAAGGGAAAGTTGGGAACATCAGGGCGCTCATAAGCGGCTTCGGAGACCGCGTTGACGACTCGATGGAGAGGGGAAGGAGGTCCGAGGATCCGCCAATATCCCTGGATCTGACCTTCCACCTGCTCCGGGAGATGATGGAGATGTCCAAGGCGGAACAGCTGGCCCAACAAGCGCAAAATAACAGAAGAATGATGGAGCTCTTCGGGAAATGAATTTTCACTCCGCCAAAGATTTCACTTTATTTTCTGTTCTTCTCCTTTTTTTTCTATTTTCATATTTAACCGTCAGCACAAAACATGCTCTGTACAATATAGTGCTGCTTTATCACTCTATTATTTATAGCTTTAACCTCAAACAATGGAGCGTAAACGGGCTTGACTTATAAAGATCCGATTGTACCTTGCCATTTTAATGTTGGTGTCAAATCTGTAGAATTGCACCGTTCTTCATATTTGAGATGAAATACTTTTCATTAAGACATGGAACACTGCATTGACCAAATGGGCATTTGTTTTAGATTATGACTCACTGTATTTATGATATTTATGTTTGTTAATAAACTTATGTGCAACCAGTCATTTTCTGTTGTGCAAGAGAACGTCTGATATTTATATTTTTTAATAAAAAGTTAAAAGCAATGCTTACACTTCTCTGTGGATATCCTTACATATGAGGTAATAACTCCTGTGAAACTAGGAGAAACTTCCCAGCTATTGTAATTACCAATTTGGTTAACCTCCTAGCACATATATTTGTAATCTACGTGTCAATATGTAATCTAAGTCTGGAAAACATATAGGTTTACTGGTTTGAGGTAAAAATACAGTTTAACAGTTTAAAGGGAGCACAAATGGCAACTGCATTTTGAGTCTTGCCTACACAGATATTGATTGATAGAGAAAATGTTTCTACTGAATATAAAAATCTTATATGGTGTAACCATGGCATTGCTCTGGAGCCAAGTCGTGGGTTAGCACCGTGCCTCTTCCCTAACACACACAAAAGGAGATGGAAGAACAATAATTTACCAAAGACGTTCATGCTGTAAGAACACCTCAGGTGCAGAACATTTAAACAGCATCCTTTCTGATAAACCCTTAATCCTCAAGAAGCTATTCTCATTTTGACAGCATGAAGCCACCTCACACAGCTGATAGATGCTCCACTGATAGCTAATGAGTATGAAAGATACTCTCTGTGTGTGTGTGTGTGTGTGTGTGTGTATGTGTATACATGCTGAGTTGATCCTTGACCCTCAGTGTCAGAGTAAACTAAACAAGAGCTGTGGATGTGAGTCATCCTGTTCTGTTTGGCCCACTTAGCAACTTGGGGCTTAAGGCTGCTTTGAGCCCATTTGTAAAGGATTCTATTCTCCCATGCAATAATTAGATGGTACTCAGTGGTGGACTCCTACAATAGTGTAGTCACAGCAAGGTGAGACCATTGCAAGGCAGCTGACGGATAACAGGCAGCACTTGGCATGCTGAGGTCTGATATGTGCAGCAGGTTGTGCAACACCATGCTGTAGAAAATAATCTCCTAAATGTCTGAACAAGCTATGAAAATATCATAAATGCCTTATCTAGATGGATTTCCTTTGACACAAGTAAATGAAAAATAGTGTCAAGAAGAGAAAAAGGGAGGGATCAAAAACAAAGTCTTCATCCTTTACACAAGCAGACACACTAACACCAAATCAGTTCAGTCCAAGAACCAACAACCAACGTACAGCGACACATGTGGCAGATCACTGAAACTACAAACTAATAACTCATTTCAGTTGCAAAAAACAAACAAACCATCCCTTAGATGTTCGCGCAATTCAGCTTTAATGACACATTATATATTAAACCATAACGAGACAAACGTGGTGCTTTTTCCATAAGAGGAAAATATACCTGTGTTTCACAACAAAGAACACCACACATAATACAGGCTAATGCATGTATGAATATCTGAAATGTCACAGTCATAGTTTCGTACTCTGCTACCTTTCTCATAATGTTATAGTGGTCATAATAAAGTATATGACAGGCAGGAAAACCTTGTAATGATCTCTAATGATGCAGTATAAGCAGTGATTTGCAAAAGGTCGCCTACATAAAAAATGTATGAACATGTCTTTGTTCTGGAAATAAGGTTGAGACACTGTTGGCCGTACAATGTGCCAAAGAAATAAAAAACATTCAAACAACAAAATTGGTATGTAACCAGACAAAAAAAAGATCCTTCAGTATGCAGTGATGCAAGCTAACACAATCTCAATAAAGAGGCAGAAAGGAACTGAAACTTCCGTCTCTTTCTTTAGATCTACCTCAGCAAGTCAAACTTTCCCTTCGGCATAGATCTAAATCTGTCTCAGTGTTCCCCGATCAGGGGAGCAAACGTATCACAACTGACCTGAAATCAACATCTAGTCAGAGCAAAACTTATCCTGCTCCTGGTTAAGGTTGAGTCTGGGCGGGCGGCTGACAGCTAGGTCGAGGCTGCGCTCTTGGCTGTGCTTGAGGACGAGTTTGTCTGCTGGGGGACAGAAGGTTGGTCGGAGGCGGATGTAACAACACTGCCTCCCAAAACAGTCTGTGCCCCCTCTCCTTCTTCAGCGTCTGCTTCTCCATCCTCATCCTCTTCATCCTCATCATCCTCGTCTTTGGAAAGAATGGGAAAGGGAATAAATGTCAAGATCACAACAAACCTGAGGTTTCCACCACTTACAGCTATCCTTCACCTTGGATGAAGTCGATGCTGCGCAGGGCCTTTCCCTCTTTCTTGAAGTCACAGTTGTAGTGGTCCATTTTCTCATAGCCACGCTCAACTTTGTCTAAATGTGCTACACTCGATGCTTCTGCGATCCTGGGAACGAAGGGGAAATTTGCATTTTAATGGGGGGAATAATCTCCCTCAGACAGTCAATGTCACACCTGATATACAAAGTATCACCCGTTTGTGATGTTTGGCACATCCCACAAGCTATTTCAGATTGCTCAGTCTAAAAATGTACATTAGCTACATTGTACTGACTTGTATTTGACAGCTCCCACAGAGCAAGTGTGACCTTGCTTCACAAGGTGTGTGTTTCAATCTGTAGGTGCAGGTGTACATGTTTTGCGAAATCATTTACAAAGAATAAAAACACGAAAATGAAACAAAGATGGGGCATATCCAGCAACCACTTTAAAGGTGTAAATTCAGAAAACCTTTTCAAATTAAAATTGAATTTTTCCATCGAAAAAGGAACCTCAAAGTTCTCTGTTTGTATGCATGAAAATATGTACTCACTTTTTGAGGAGAGGCTTTGTGTTCTGAAAAAGGACAGAGAAAGAGCAAATTTTGATTGACCTTGTACATAAAATGTTTTTGGTTAGAACCTTTGTTAATAGTGAGCTTGTGCTAGAATCTCACAATTCAGTTTGTTATTGACTCTGACCTCTAGGAATAACGCCATTTCTGGCTCCTCCATAGTCTGGATCCCCTTCTCCACGACCTTACAGCTCTCCTCCAGGTGGTCTCCATACTGCCTGGTCAGGCCCCGGATATAGTTCAACTTCTCTTCCTGTTCGGCCGTCACCTTCTGACTCATCTGCCTCTTCTTCTCCTCCAGGACAGAGTACAGCTGGTCGAACTTCTCGCACACAAGAGTCTTCTGCCGCCGACCGTTCTCCTATACGTGAATGAATAAGCAGCAGAGGCGCATTCAAACACACAGCAATAGATTATGCATTCTGAAAGTCCTGCCTTATTCATCTTTTATCACCATCCTAGGTGTGGTACTCTAGGATGATGAACAGAGTATAGAATATTCAAAAGCAAAGATCTGTCCAAAGAAAATTACGAGATAGTTGTTTCTTTCTGTGTAAGGTCAGGTAAATACTGTAAACTACAAATGTTCTTGTTTCTCTTGTGATCCGCTCTTCCGGTGGCACCATATGTGTAGGAAGGGCAAGGAAGCTCATCTGCATGTCTGTCCTGTGTGACAACACTGAGGGTGACACCACGGGACCTGGAGCCACTCCAGCTTCCTCTCTACTGTCCGACTGTGGAATGGGATCCACAGGAAAACTCAGTTCTCCCTCTATCTGTTAAAACGCTTGGTTTTTAATGTAATTAAGAGGCAGAATGGAGTGTCCTGCGAAGTGCATGTAGAAGAAGATCACACTCTTAGAATGTGTAAAGAGAGAGAAAGGTAGTCACAGGCATCCAAACATTACTTTTCCTCTCTCCATTTCTGTGTTTACAATATATCTCACAGATGGATGAAAGCAATACATGTGGCAGCTACAAGGACATATTACAATTGTTATTATTACGTACATGCAGGTGAGTGCAGGTGCATTTTTTTGTGCACAGAGCAGGGCTTGCTGTGTGAGTAAGCCGCCAGTCGCTGTAGCCCTAGGACACTGACCTCTATAGCACGACAGGCTTCCTCCAGCTGACTGATGATGCCCTGCATCCTGTCGTTGTTACCAACCATCATGGCAATCCCGTCACTCAGCTCCGTCTGGGAGACAAGGACACGGCTGAGTAAATACCTGAGATCAACTAGACAAAGTTATGATGCATGTAAATGTAGAGAACATCAGCCATAATGTAAAACAATTTTCACTCAGGTATTGGTTTTGTTAGAAGTTACCTTGAACGTGGACGCTTTTGGATTTTAAAATAAAGCACAAGTGGGAGACAATTGTGACAGCATGACCTACAATAAAAACCTGGCTTAAACATATAAATATAATATTCATGTCCAATTTACATCGCTTCAGCCAAGCTACTACTAAGTTGATTGTTTTGCAGTCTGCCTTTATTTAAAAGGACATCTGTAGATGGACAGGAAATATTTGGAATAGAGATTGAGAATGACGTGCCTGAAAGGGCTGATGGCTGGAGTCCAACCAAGGGCCACTTCCATGAGGAATGGAAGTGACCCTCTGCAAATGGGCGAGTCGCCCACCAACCCAGCTAAAACGGTTCCTCAACAAAATGATACTTTTATAACATATTATGATTTAAATAACATTTTTGGTACCCTGGTAATTGAGCAACCACTCCCTGCATATACACAGATGATAAAAAATTGAGATATGAATATCTATCTATCTATCTATCTATCTATCTATCTATCTATCCATCTATCTATCTATCTATCTATCTATCTATGACCACCATCAGTATTTCATACCTCACCTTCTTAGTCTGGTAGATGCTGGTGATTGGTGCCACCTCACAGTCTTTGTGAGCGCCAAATACCTTACACATGGAGCATGTGGGCACACCATGGGTCACACAGTAAATATTGATCTTCTCATCCTCATGAACATCACACATGGGCGTCTCTTCCTTCCTCTCAGGTGCTGGTTTGCTGCTGCTGAGGTGTAAAAGAAAACAGCAGATCTTCCAGTCAAGGCCTTGCGTTTCGGCGCATATTGATGTGACATGTAATGTCAGTTTGATAATGTCACAGGTACACATCTCACTTGTTTATTGATCATCCATCAGTCTTGGCAGGCCATGCACATAGACTGTCTGCACTTTAATCAATAAAACAACATTATACTTCAGAGGGGGCAGGTGCATATCTGTTTGATTTCTATTGATATCTAGTTTTGAAAACCTCTAACTAACACTGTCAATCCTCTTCCACTTGATTTGTAATCTTATATAATGACACAGGATCTTGACCCATGATGAGGTGATGATGATATCATTTCATACAAGCCTTTTGACCGTACATTCAACTCCTCAGATTAAGGTGATCATCTTTGTAGAGGTGACTAAAACCATAAACCTCGGACTTCGAACAGAAATCAGCAGCTGTAACTCTTCTACTACAACTAAACAGACAATCTGATTTGTCTCACCTGCTCGACTCCTGCTTGAACATATCAATGATGTTCTCCACCAGAAGGTTCCTCTGCAGCCCGTAGACGCCATGTCTGTCCAAAACCACCTCATGCCTGCAGGATGGACATCGGAAGCGGCCCCCAGACGTCACTGAGCCCCCTCTTGTAGGTAGATATGGATTTGAGGCCTGTCAGTCGCAATTAAAAATCCAAATTTATTTTGATGTCACAGTATTTAATAGCAATAAGATAAACTTTGTTAGTTACCTGAGTTAAAGTGTTTGACCTAACAGCTATGAAATGTTTATCCATCATATTAAGATTCATTATAACAAGTAAGTACTGTCACTAGGAAATCACATTGCTCTGCTCCTAAGTTGGGACATATCATCTTTTGACACTTATCAAAAACCTAAGGTTCTGAGGTAAAATATTCATTAATACTCTTTGTAAACACAGCATTACACTCTTATTTATCATAAGTTGCAACACCCCATTAGCTCGTGTTCCGCCTTAAACTCTTTGGGACATATACGAATACAAACCTGAAAATAATGACATCCAAACATGTATTAGTTTGGCCTTCAGTACATCACACACGTAGGGCCTGTTTATAACGCTTCAAAGGGCCAAGTGACATGGATAGTTAGCCTGTAGCTGCTTATATGTACATAACAACACTGTCACTTCAAACTTTCCCTTTAATACTGGAAACAAAACTGCTGAATTGTGTTGAGTTTATTACCTGAAAAACATCATTGGCACATTTTCTGCAGAGGTTGTGCTGGCAGGGTAGAATAACCACAGGCTTTGTAAACATTTCCAGGCATATGGGACAAATCAGCTGTTTCTCCAAGTTGTCCATGGTATTCATTTTTGACAGAGACGTTCAGCAATACGTTCAATAAAAACAAAACAAAGGATAAAGCCACGTAAGCTGGTAAATAGTCCGTTTCTGAAAGCTATCTACGGCGAGACAGAGCCTGTCATAAGAGTAGGCCTGCTGCTCTTGTCCCGGCGGGTGTGGGCTCCTATCTTGCTGGTGTCAGTTCTGTTTTTAGCAACTATTGCTGTCACGTCAAAGGTTGCCATTTTTACCTTGCCCATATTTGAAACTGAGCAGAGCATTAGGCTACTGAACAGCTGCCTGCAGTGTTATGGAGGACGAGATCTGACAAAAGTATAAATAAATAAATAAATAAATGTATTAAAAAAATACTGGAATAAATAAATAAATAAAAGAATGAATAAATAAATCATTAAATGCGTGAATAAATAAATAAAAACTGGTAAATAAATGGGACATAAATAATTAAATGTCTTAAATTTATTTCTACATTTATTTATTCCCACATTATTCATTTCTACATTTATTTATTTCCATATTTATTTATTTCTACATTTATTTATTTCCACATTTACTAATTTCTACATTTATTTATTTCTATATTTATTTATTTCTACATTTATTTATTTCCATATTTATTTATTTCTACATTTATTTATTTCCACATTTACTAATTTCTACATTTATTTATTTCTATATTTATTTATTTCTACATTTATTTATTTCCACATTTACTAATTTCTACATTTATTTATTTCCATATTTATTTATTTCTACATTTATTTATTTCCACATTTACTAATTTCTACATTTATTTATTTCCATATTTATTTATTTATACTTTTGTCAGATCTCGTCCTCCATACACTGCTAGCTGAGGAGGTGACCGTCTCTATGCATATATTGTTCTTTTTAAAAGGGATAGTGGAGGCTTTGCATTACATCAACGAATAAGTTTGCGTACCAGAGACGTTTTAGGCTAACAAAAATGACTAAATAAAGTATAAAGTAATTGCTTTAGACCTAACCTGTTGTCTCTTGAGGCAAAAGACAATGTTAAATCAATGGATAATCAGCTGTTTCTACAATTTAAAGCACACAGAAGAAAACGTGTTCATGAGCAGGCCTGTAACACGCATGCGTACTCTCGTTTGATTATAAACTTTTGGCATGACGTAATGAAAACTTTACATTGGCGCTAGCGGCATCAGTTCAAACTGCGGCCACTTTTTTTACATCTAATAGACGGTCAAAAAGCCACCACAAGGTATGGTTATATACTGGCCAACAAGAAAAACGAGGAAACTGTGTTAGTGATTTAAAAAAAAGTCGAGTTAAAGTGAATTGCGAACTGGTAGATGCAAGCTAGGACGAATTAGCTTTCATCTTTGGAGAGTCATGTCGGAACTTTCTTATTGAAGTTACCACTAAGAGGCCAAACATCGCCGGAATGTATTTTATATCGCTATGTGTTGGCAACATAGACTGTAAATATTACAAGCAGGTTTGGAGAAGCAATATTTATTAAGTATTACGACCCGAAAATGTTCCAACGCGGGCATCGATCCCGCTACCTCTCTTAGCGAGCGCTCTTCCATTTTAGCTAATTCCTCCTCCAAACATGAGAAAATAAGCATTTTAACTAAAAAAAATAATGCTTTCATGTGGTTAAATTCGTCATGATGACAATGTTGTGGGACAACGAAATGCATGGACAGTTTTAAATGCAACGAATTATGGACATGTAGGAAGCGAGGCGACCACGTGTCTTCACAGGACGCAACAGCTTAATGTAAAATTAATGAAAAACTCGATGTTTGTAAGTATTAGTAACTCCTTATTTATATTCAGGTCGTTGAACCCGCAACACATTCGTCAAAGTCGATGTTTACACCTCCTATTTACACATACTTGCTCCTCCTTTAAGCCAACTTCGTTCACTTTATTTCATTTTTACTTCTTGCACATTTATAAACAAAAAGCAGTTTAATGATAAAATAAAAAATCAAGTTACATCGTGATGCGTATCTCCCTTCGATAGCTCAGTTGGTAGAGCGGAGGACTGTAGTGGATACATGGTAATCCTTAGGTCGCTGGTTCGAATCCGGCTCGAAGGAGTGCTTTTTTTTTTTTTTTTTAATAACCCAAAATGTAATTCGGGTTTTCTCATCATCTTTGTTGGTTTGTTAAATATGAATCAGAGTCAGGGAGTTATTTTTTTAGATGTTTTAGATAATTGTTATAGCTGAAAATGAACAACTTGTCATTTTCCCTAACGCCTTATTTGTCTGCTTCTCCGTGATTTCAGGGAAAAACAAACTACATTTAGGAATCACAGCAGACACTATTAAGATGTACCAAGTTAACGCCTGAAAGGTGAGGACACATCTATCGAAAAACAGAAACAAAATAAGAGTAAATAAGATCTCACTTTCATATAACACTATTCACTGCAAAGTTACTGTTGTCTAATCTGTTAAGATGTTACATAGAATAGAACAGAATTACTTTACTGATCCCAAACTGGGAAATTGTGGTACACAAGACATATTTTAATGATAAATTAATAATAAGTAACATGCAGCTATCGTCCACTATATTATACCATATAGAAACACTATGTTTTTCATGTCATTTACTAGAAAAAGTGTTTTCTCTTTACTGTGGGATGCTGTGAGAGCACCACTTGTTTACCACATATTTATTGACCGCCTGTAAACTATAACTACATGTTCATTAACAACAAGGAAGGACTGCTCAAATGCTCACCATTAAAATTGCTTCCTAAATTGAATTCAAATTAAGTCAATTAAGCGCATGGATGTTTTGAGTTATGGCTTTGTAATTGAAGCAAATTCATCATTTTAAAGCCATTACTGTCTGACTCTTAATATTGCAGTGCCTGTTGGTAGAAATGAGATTGAAGGTCGACAAATTAAGAGCAGCATTAAGATGGCTAGATAATGAAAGGCCAATCTGAATGCCAGACAGACGCTGCTGGGAGTCTCCGGAAAGAAGACTTAAAGAGTGCAGTATGTTCCTACTCTATTCCTCTATTTTACAGTGTTGTGTAAAAAAACAACAACAACAGATTTGATTGGAAAAGGGTCTGCAGGTACTGCTAAGGCCACAAAATACACAACAGGAGGTATGACACACAGTCACTTGCACAAAACCCTACGTGTAAAGGTCTACAAGCTCGTAAAGGAAGATATAGGTGTACATGGGACCAGAAAAAGATGCGGAGCAAAGGGTGCCATCTGTTCTCCTGTATGAATATTTCAGTTAGGTGGAAGTCATATTGTATTCATACAGATGGTAAGCAGTCACTGCTTTTAGTTGGAATTTATTTCCCGCAAGCATATTCAGATAAAGGTGTCAATTTCTGACCTAGGAAGGCATCTAAAATATAATTCTGTTAATTATAAACATCACTTAGGATGTTAATAAGATTCAAAATAGTATGATTTTAATGTAGAAAAGAAGTCAAGTATTCAAGTTACATTTCTGATTATAAAGAGCACACCTACACGACCAAGCTTTTCTAATAAAGCTACAGTAGTAAATGTGACTAGTAAATATTTAGGCAGCTGCTTAAATGTAAATGTTTTAAAACTTTTTAGGACATGATTTACTTTAGAAGCAGCAACAATTTGCATAATTATCCAAATGGAAATCAGACTTATTAGTCAAGATTGTCTAAAACACTCCAAGAATCTAACTCCTGTTTCCTACAAATCAATGCAGGAGAAGAATTTTGCAAACTTTGCTTTGGCCTCTAGAAATGAGTACTAAGTATTTTATAATTAACAGAGGTCTTTTGTTTTTAATGTTTTCTGTAAAGCTTACAGATCATACACTAAGTACAAAATCTCATAGGGATCAGAGTACATAGGGATGTAATAAGAAAAAAAGGATAAAAAATGCACATCAACACTACAGTTACATTTACTCACTTTTTAATACATCAGTCCAATAACCATACTTAGTTGTAGTTTAACTTTAAGCTTTAACACAAAAAATCTTGTCATTTTTAACATGAGATAAGCCAGTGTATTCATAAGTAGGGTAACAGATAGAGGACTTGCGTGATAATACAATGTGGACCCTCAGATTTGACAAACAGTCGCTTGATGATAAGAAAGATGAAATAAAAGAGCCAGATTCCCTTATGGAGTTTTATGTAACATCCTCTCCCATACAATGACGTAAAAGAGACGTCAGTCTGTTTTAACAGGCGCTGCTGCACCTCATGGTCATGGGAAACAGGGATGCGCTCAGCATGCAAGTGCTCCTCTCAGCCAGGCTTAAATCTCACCCTCAGAACCATGAGAAGTGCAGTCCACATTGTTGGATGTTTAACGCTGTGGTTAAGATTAAGCCTGCATTAAACAGGTTACTCTGAGGGTGCTGCAAACATGTAGAATGATGGGATTGTTGTGCATACTTACTGTTCTCTCTTAGACAGTTTGAAGATGTTTTATGATCCTCTGGGATTGGCCAATTACTCACCACGAGGGAGGGAGATGTCACAAACGTCCCCTACAGTGCAATCTAATGAGCCTGATATAAGAGAACATTGATCTTTGAGGGATCTGCTGTTGTTTCTGCTGCCACTTTTTTAATTTACATGGCATCAAATTATTTTAGATTCAAAATCAGTAATCTGAATTTCAATAAAAAACAGTTCATGTTAATGAAATGGGCATCATACTGTAGTTTCTGCTTAGGAGCAGTGGTTGTGAAGCCTGTTGGTCTTAAACTTAATAAAAGAGTGCTATCTAGTGGTGGGAGGAAGGGGAGCTTTGTCCTGTTCTGTATGCTGACGTCATCACAGGCGTCTCCAAAGGGGGCTTACGTCATAGTTGTGGTGTATGCTGTTGCATTTTGAGTTTATGTTTCATGATACTTTATTCTGTTACTATATATAATATGAAGAAAAAAAGGCGAGTCCTTTCTCTAGCTGTCACACATCAGAGCTATCTATGCCTCAGTCAAGAAGTGTATCTTTCTGGGTGAAATGATTTACACACAGACTCTATGAATTTTTATTAATTTCACTTATACAAGTAATAAAAATAGCGCTTCAGATCTTAGCACAAAAAATATGTGTCTTGTTTTTGGGCTGGTTATTTAGTGGAGTTGTCTCAAATTTAGAGAATGGAAAATTGAAT